GAACTAATGTCATCTTTATACGTTTGAATAAAATCATATGACTCCTTTACAATATTATCTTCACTTAAACATAAGAGATTGATTGGATTAAGAAAGTCAAATGTAGTACATACATTGTCCATTGCTTTAAAACGAATATTAAGTTGCATTAAAACAGTATCTATAAAAAGATAAAATACTTTAATTTTAAAGTTTTCTGTTGTTATAGTTAAGAGGACGCCACACCCGCATGTGTTGTCTTCGTCTTTCAAGTGCGTAACATGGAAAATTTTATGCTCAGCAGTTCCAATTTAGCTCCGTTAGTTTACAACTTATAGTAAATTGACCTCTTATAAGAATTAAAGGTAACATTATTATTTAGGCTTTCACAGAGGCATTTTATTATATTTCAATTTTGAAGCAGAGTATTTTTAAAACGGTGAATTGCTTGTATATCTTAAAATACTCATAACTCACTTCAAAATTGAAATATAATAAAAAGCCTATGTGAAAATCTAGATAAAAATGTTACCTTAAAATTCTTATAAGAGGTCAATTTACTCTAAGTTGTAAAATAACGGAGCTAAATTGGAACTGCTGAGCATAAAATTTGCCATGTTACKCACTTGAAAGACGAAGACAACACATGCGGGTGTGGCGTCCTCTTAACCACCTATCTTTATCGACTTCATCAAAATGTTTTTTCGCATAAATTGTTGCAATGTTTTTTCGAGGTTCAGTATATGTAACTGGTAAGCTCCATCTCAAACAYAATGACTTGGCATTATTTACAATATCTTCGTAATTATTTCTCAATTAATTTATGAAAAAATAAACATCTTTTAATCTGTCTCGTGCATTTTGTAGATTTAAATATTTAGTTGTTGTAACATTTTTGAATCACCAAAACAAACAAATCGCTAGATAGGCCGTAGTGGTGACGTTAATAGCGGGATTCCCGTTAAAATTCCAACAAACGATAACAATACATCAATGCCGAACTACAATAAGGTATGTCCACACTAGTGCGTTTTTACTTGCGATAAGCGCATGCGTCATAGAGCATGCGATGACGAACGAAGCGCATTCAATAACGCATGCGTCTATCGAGTTGAACGGAGAAAAGTTTTGTTCAGCATGCGACAAAGCACGTGTTTCCAAGCCCAGTGGATTTTTCGTGCGATTTGATTGCGACTTCTGTAATTATTTTTTTATTTCAGTATTTTGATTTATATAATTTTGATTTTTTCGTTTATATTGAGTGTGTTAGTCATAATAATGGATGAAAATCAAACATTAAAATTTATTGAATCATATAAAGCGGCAAAACTTTTATGGGACGCAAATCATATCGATTATTGCAACAAAATTAAACGAAATGATGCGTTGGAGCGTATCGGTAATGAATTCAACATTGATGTATCCGCCGTAAAAATCAAAATTAAAAACTTGCGTTCTTATTTTTCGAAAGAGCGCCAAAAGTCTCTTAAAAGAAAATCTGTTTCGGGTGCTGATGAAACCTATGTCTCATCGTGGTTCGCGTATGCACCTCTCCTTTTTGTTGCCGATAGTTCGAATCCTAGAGAAACAGTAGATAGTGAACAAGAAAATCCCGAGAACTCCGATTTTAATATATCTACACAAGTAAGTTTTTAATAATACCTATATACATAATTTTTGAAATTGTTTATTCATGGTTGTGTTAAATCTAAAATAATACACATACCTAAACAGTGTACAAATAGTAATGAAAAMATAAATTCTAAAAATACATTTCTTCCCATTCAGGTTTGGTGGAAATA